CCTGCCTCCCCACCCCGGTTGTCAGCACACAGCCCCTTTCCCTCTCTGGATCTCAAGTCCCCAGCCACTCCATCTCTCCACGTCATCGTCCCTGAGATACTCTTTAAACCTTGAACAGAAGTTAACTGTAAGGCCATCTTGTAGCTAAATAATAGACTGATACACACCATGATGAAAAGCTTCAGTAAGTACTGTGATTTTTAAAATCACCTGTATGAGATCAAATGGTCAATGATGACTTTAAAACAAAGAGAAGGTAAGGGGGGCAGGGAGACTAGATGAAGGGAAACAGAACCACTAGAATGGAAGCCACAAGAACATTCACACATTGTAGAGAAAATAGAACCAATGTCATCAGCCAACGCGTGTAGATATTGTTGAGTGAGAACCTCACATGCCATGAAAACCTTCACCCCAAACACAGATTGTTTTTTTAAATTCAAAGCAATAAAATGGAATAAAAATTTGTAGAGATTTGATGGGGGGAAAAAAATTGCAAAACTACCTACCCGAGGTTGGAAAAAACAATAACTATGATGAATGTCCCCTGAAGTGGTGACTGTCACACTCCAAAACACTGCCATTTAGGTGAAGCGCCGTCTTAACACTGGCCAGACAGCACACTCCAGGCACACGGACACAGAACGTCCTGCTGACTCAATCTCCCGGCGTAGGAAACCCTCCACATTCCTCCTGACTTAAGAAAATGAGGCATGTTTCTGTAGAAAGAAGCAAGCCACTGAGCAGGTTGAAAGAGACTTTATTAATGAGCCAGTATGTACAAACTCTAACATGAAAATAAGGAGGCACCAGAATATCAGATAGACTATTTACAATACCTTTGCTTTTTTTTGTTTTACAAAATGTTTTTTGTTTTTTTTTTTTTTACAAGACAACATCTCTCTAAATACCATGACAGACATACACAAAAATCACACGCTTATTACATACATAAATAAATATTGACTTTAAATGACATGGTTTCTATAGAATATTTGGATTAAAGGGAGCAGCTCTGTTACCTCAAAACAGCTAAAAGGAATAACTTCACACGTCGACCTGGGTTAACCGCTCCGGCAGACGCATAACTTGCTAGAATATTCAGCGGAGGTGAGACTACATCGTTACAGTCCATGCTTTACCTACACTCTGAGCCCAGAGACTTCAGAGAAATGTCAGTCTTGCTACGTTTACATCTGAAAATGAACGGCAAGCTACATGCAACAGTGGTTTTGCCTTCTCCACCTTGCATTCTGGTTACCATGCCAAACTGGGAGAACAAAGTGAGAGTCACCTGGGATCAGGGCTAGAAGACATGCAAGGGAGTCCATGGCATTCCTGAAATACATGTGTGTTACAAATGGTCTTGTGATACTTGACACAGAGCCAGCATCTGTACTTGCATTGTACAGACGCAAGTCAAAATCCAGCCTTTGCCCAGGTTTTATGGGCTAGAGAAACACTATAGACCTTTGAGTTCACGTGTAACTGTTTCTTTAGTTCCCAGGGTCTATACGTGCATTTTACTCAGGGCCCACAGGATAAACAAGGTCGGTGGTTCAAACTCACCAGCTACTCCTTGGAAACTCTATACAGCGTTGCTATGAGTCTGAACCAACGCCACAGCACTTAACAACAACAATCAAGGTAAATGTGCAGTACTTAGAAAAGATATTTCTATTAAATCCAGATCATTCCATGGCAGGAGTTTAAACTGGGTGATGTTGCCTGCCCTCAAGGGACACGTGGGGTTATCTGAAGATATTTGGGTTGTCACAGTTGGGAAAATGTACCATTAGCATCTAACGTGTGGAGGCCACTGTCACACCATTCAACACCCTACAATGCATCAGTTGGCTGAATGATGCCATCCCAAATGGCATGCGTCCTGGGAGTCCGCAGCCCTGCTCAATTGAGTGAGTTGTGTGTTTTAGAGTGTGAACATACTGTCAAACTCTGAACTTAGCTTTAGAAACATTTTGCAAAATGATCTCTCATAAATCATTTCCTTGCTACTAGGTTATATTACAGCAATTGTGAACTTCAGTGGGCACACGTTCGTTTTTGAAAAAACCAACCTTCGGGTTCCAGTTAGAAAAAGATGGTCACCGAGATAAATTCATTACGAAGGAATTAGTGCTGTGAATGAAAATGATGCCTAGAACTGCAGTGTATAGCTAGTTAAGCACTTGTCTTTGAAGGCTGAATTTTTTCAATAGGCTGAATCTTTCAAGCAACAAATAATTTTCTAAAAGCAGATGAATGCACCCCATTCCAATAAAATGGATTAGACACGGAACCTAGGTTTAAAAAGACATACGCTAGCATGCACAGATCTCATCACTTTATCAGGGCACTCAAGTAAAAAATAAATAAATGTATCTCTATATATAATTTATGTATATATATGGATACATATATTTTAAAATATATAAATTATATATAGATACATATTTTGAAAATATGTATCGATATATGTAATTTATATATTTATATGTAATTTGTATATATAATTTGGAGTCCTGGTGTAGCGCTGTGGGTTAATGAGCTAGACTGCAAAGTCAGTTTGAAGTGCAAGGTTGGTGGTTGAAGCTCACCAATCACTGCTTGGAAACCAGGGTCACTACGGATCGGAACCAACTCGATGGCACTTAAAAACAACAACATATATATAATTTGCTCATTTCATTCTAGTTAGAGATGAATCGTGTTTTTCTTCTAAAACAGTAATGAAATTTAAATTTTTGAATGTTCCAGCACAATTCAATGTTTAGAAGGGTTGCTTTAGGTATGTTAGGAAAGACGTCGGCTTTAGAACATTTAACGTAGTGAAAAATAGACTTGCCTGTCAAAAGAAACATAGTTCAATTTTATAAAAAGAAACAAAGAGCAACTAAGTATTATACCTCTGTAATTTTTAACTCTCCAACATCCCAAATCCTAGGATACAGTACTAACAAATTCAGATGGAAGATAAACCCCTCGTTGGAAGTTTGCATTTTTGAAATGTTAAGGACTTGAATTTCAGATGCTGGCTACGGCACTAGAAGGAGTGGGAGATTTAAGGAAGGCTTCTCCAATGTTTGCTAAACTTCATAAGGGCTTCCAGGAGGGTGGCTTTCTGTGCTCTCAGCTCATGTTCTGTAACGGAGGAAACAGGTAGAATGTCACATCCACCTGTGACACATCCACCCAGCCCCTGCATGTGGGAAGCTACAGGGCACCATCCAGAACCAATGAAAACTTGCGTTCTGAGATGTTTGTCACGTGTATAAAGCTGTAAACCATTCCCTGGACCATCAATGCTTAGGGCTTTACTATGGATGGAACAGCTGTGTTTGGTTTTTAATGTCTGCTCTCAGGTATCCTGAAGGGATGCATTTTCTCTACATGCTGTGTTACACCTGTCATTAGTCAGAACCAACCGAACGGCAACTGGATATATAAACAATATGCCAGGGGGCCTGGAGTTGTCTCCTGCTGGGACCAGTGACCTGGAACCCACACATAACGTGATGATGTTTCCTGTGCTACTTGGATGACTATGGAAACCAGGAGGACTTTCAATTGTCAAAATGCCTAAAGAGGAAAAATGGTTCTTTTATCAGAGAATCAACAGTAATGGGCACAATATAGTCTCCTTATGACCTTCAGCATAGAACTATATCCTTACCTGTTTATGGGGAAATGGAATGGAAAGATAATGGCATTTTTCCTCAGTTTGTGAAGCCCCCTCGTATATGTGTGTGCCTGTATGTATATGCACACATGCTTACAAATAGACAAATACATCTGTATAATTTAAAATCATGTATCAGGGTCTTCCCTAGGGAGAAGCAGAATGAACTATTTCTGTGTGAGGGCACCCCAAATATACTCCGTAACCCTACTCACTTCAAATACCAACTTCCTGCGACATAAGGGGAATTTTGAGCATGAGAAAGTTCCCAAATAATCTACGATCAGAAGCTTGAAAGAACAGAGGATTACCAAAGGTGAATGGCCCTCTATTAAGCAAAGTCCTTTATACATTATTGATGCTATTCTAACAAACAAGTCCTTCCTTTGATTACGAAAAAGCGAAGCTCAACGAAGACTTGAGAATGTTCAACAACTGGGATTATTGCCTTGGGGTTTTGTGAATTTTCAAATGCAGGGAGGCTCCCAAACAAATATACCAACAGCTGATTTATGCTTTGAGGAAATATCAATAAATTCACCTAATAGAACACTCTCTATATTATAGAATATTAAAAGCAATATCTAATCTGAAATACTAAAAACAATGTTAATTTACCCAAGGCAAAGTCTAGTTAGCAGCACAATAATGTATGGAATGTTTTATTCCTGATGGCATCTTCTACACACCATCCTTGACAATCAAGCCCCCCATTCTATTTGTGTACAGAAAAGTCTAAGAGGTTTAGAGCAGAGGCATTTTTACATTAATTGGTAGCTTTTCTGGTTACAAATTGTCAGTTACAAATCACAGACAATAAAAACAAATCCATTTCAGGCAAGATTTTAATAACATCATCAAAAGGACCCCCTAGCTTCAAACTCTCACTTGATTATGCAAATCAAATCATTCATTTAATCAACAAGATGCATTTTGTTGATGAAAGCCATGCTCGATTTGTGTACGGATTGTGTGTGTCACACTCATTTTCTTGATTGAATCTGCTCAGTGTGTGTATTGAGTCTTATTTGATTTAAGTTCGGGAATGCTCAATGCTCAGTACACAGGTAGAGACCAGCGAGACTGTGTTCGGAGTTGCCAAGAACCAGTTGAGGAAACAAGGCGGAAGCTTCCTTAAGCCCATTCCCACTGCCCGTGTCCTCTCAGGAGCATGGTGTCGGTCTTCCTTGGGGGTCTGCGTGTCTCCCGATGCCAGGTGGTGGGAGGAGGACAGGAGTCCTTACAGAGCTAACAGGTGGGCCGCCCTGGGACTCCTCGGGAGTGAACGCTGGCAGTCCACAGGCCTGTGTTCACTGCGTTCCTAGTGTCTCCCTGGAGAAGTCTGGTAGTGATGAGCGTGATGGTGCTTTAGATGAGGCCCTAGGAAGTCACAAGACACACACGCGTCACGTCACAGCTGAGTCTGTTTGCGGTGCACGCAGCTGGTGTATGTCTGTGTGGAGGGAAAGCATTCCCGCTGAGACCCAGGTGTGTCTGTGCAGAACTGTGCTCTGTGGGGTCTTCTGTGCCAATGGCTGCGAGCTTCATGAAGCAGGCTCGAGCCACCACCCTGCGGGGCAACAACCAAGCACTTGACCCTCTGTGCCACCCATGCACTTCTAGTGTAAGTAGTGTTGTGGGGGGACATCGAGTCAAATCTGGCTTCTAGGACCCTGTCACCTTCCTGGGAGCGGAACACTAGGCCGCTCTCCCACAGAGCAGCTGAGGGCTTAGAAAACCATATGTTCAGTCAGGAGCCAAGCCCTTCACTGGAGCACCCTCAGGGCCACTTGGAGAAAGTATGAAACCACCCCAACCCCGCTGCCATTGAGTCAATTCGGACTCATGTCAACCCCGCATAGTGTTTCCGAACGGAAGCAGACAGCTTCATCTTTCTCCCGAGCGGCAGCTGGTGGGTTTGAACTGCTGACCTAGTGGTCAGTCGTCCGGTTCTTATCCTGCAACCTCAGCAGGGCTGTCCGGTGTCCTCCCCATTGTGGACGCTGATTCTACACGAACACTCATTATTCTGTCTGCCCAGTGTGTCCCTTCTCTCCTGCCGAGACCCCCTCTCTAAGACCGGAAATATCACAAGTATTACAAATGTGAGCGTCCCCAAAGCTACAAGTTATTCATGCAAACCACAACTCTTTTTATTTCTTCAAGATATTCACAAATCAAAGGAGTCATTTCCCAGCAAGCTCTGAGCTTTTGTTCGTGGGTATGGGAGAGCTGGCAAGGCAGGGGTACCGGTGATGGTTGTACAACATCAATGATGTCATCGCTCTCACTGCAGTATGGGCGGGACCAGGGGAGGATGATTGACAAACGTGTTGTCCAAGCATCTAAACTTTCCTTAAACACAATTGCAGTGCAGGTGTAACAGGGTGGCATTTTACCCAAACTTTACAAACTTTATCCCGCCCTTCCCAAGTGCTAAGTGTTTGCATTCTCTGAAATTGAGCGTAAACAGTTTAGTGGGGAGATTTGGGTTAATTACTTGACAAATCGGTGTGTGGGGGGGGTACTAGGAGTCCTCAATTTTATTACCAATAAAAATTTTTTGACATTGCTTTTAAAGTTTAAACTTTGAGAAAATAAAGTTCGTAATTTTTAAATCAGCAGGAAGCTAGTAGCTTTGAAACAGTGATGTTAAAAAAAAACCAAAACACTTACTTGATTTAACAGTAAATGACACAATCAGGTAAAAAAAAATTCTCTAAAATATCACCTATGGTTTCAAAATTATTCGCTTCTTGCTGACTTTTTAATTTAACGTGAAATCAAGGAGAATGATTTGAAAAACATCATGAAAAAAAATTAATAACTATATTAAAGTAAAAGGAGCTCTGGTAGCGTAGTGGTTACGAATCGGGCTGTGAACCTAAAGGTCAGCGGTTCGAAACTACCAGCTGCTCCGCGGGAGACAGATGAGGCTTTCTACTCCTGTAAGGATTTACACCCTCGGAAACCCTGTACAGGGTCGCTATGGGTCGGAACCGACTCGACGGCACGTAACAACAACAACATATTAATGTAAGGGAGCCCTGGTGCAGTGTTGTGGGTTAATGCGCCGGACTGCAAAAGTTGGTTTGAACCTCAAGGTTGGCAGTTTGAGCTCGCCAGCTGCTCCTCGGAAACCCTACACGGGGTCGCTACGGGTCAGAACCGAGTCAACGTCACATCACCTAACACCAACATATTAAAGTAAAATATATACAGTGAGAAAATAATCTCCTTAGTAAACATTATCTCTTACAGTGTCTCATGATGGAAAATTTCCACTTTGTTTTCCTAATTTCTGACTAATATGAGAGACTAGAAAACGTTTTCCATTTGTATTTACGATAAGCACTGGGCTGCTCACCAGAAGGTAGGTAGTTCAAATCCACCACGGATGCTATGAGTCGGAACCGACTAGATGACACTTAACAACAACAACATTTATAGTTTACAAGAGAAGCAGAAAGCATGTATAGAATAGAAAAGAAATGAGATGAAGGAAGACAGGGAGGAGGGAAGAAGAGGGGGAGGGAGGGAGGGCTGGAGACAAGGGAGGAAAATGTGGGGAAGGAGGAGGGAGGTAAAACAGGAAGAAATGAAGAGAGGAAGGAGGGAAAAAGGAAAGGAAGCAATTCAGATTAACCATTTATGTTCAAAGTAGCTGGAGTAACAAACAAGACGCCCCAACAAGGGGCAGGAGACAGTGTGGCTAAGGAGCCCCCTGATTTCAGGGTGTTGCCTCATGGTGACCCTGGTATACAGAACGGAACTGTGCTCACAGGGGTTCCAAGGCTGTGACCTTTGGGAAGCAGATTGCCAGACCTTTCTTCTGAGGTGCCCCTGGGTGAGTTCAAACTGCCAACCTTGTGGCTAGTACTCCTGAGCATTACAGTTAGGGGTTCCCGGGTGGATCCTGTAGAAAGTGCAAGGATTTGGGGGCTCTCTGCCAACTCCCCGCCCCACCGCCTGGGACAAGACAGTGGGGGGTCCCAGCACTCACTGTGGGCTGCTGACAGCGGGAGCTCTGGGGTGCGGAAGGTCCTGATGGTGGCCGGCCCTTCCCCGCCGGTGGTCAGCACCTGCACTTCTAGCCGGTAAAGGGTGGATGGCCGCAGGTTGGGCACCGATAGCATGGAATGATCCTAGGGAGGCAGGGGAAATGGGACACTCGTCAGGCACATGTGAGGACAGTTGACCGCATTGTGGGCTGCCACAAGGGAATGGGCTGATGGCTCTTCTAAGTGACCTCACTCTCAGAGACCCCTGGTTAATTCTCACGTCGCTGAACGCTTGGCCGCCCGGGACCCTGGGGACCCAGGAAGTGTACCATGCGCCACACCAGCAGGCTTGCTCCTGGGACTTCCTATTTCATTCCTTCCCTAAAGAGTTTCCCAGGGCTGAATTGCCAGCTGCTCTTGTGATGTGAATTCTTGATAATCCCAATTCCCCCGTACCAGCCAAAGTCGTCTTTTACAATTTACTATCTGCCTGGAACCGAAAAGTACATTCTGACGCCAACACATGCTTCTGAAATCTCAACAAAACCCGAGCCATTCATAGAATTCTCACTACTTTCTAATTCCATGGGCGATTTCCTCCGGGATTTAAGGCTTTCTCTATTTTTTTTCTCTTCCTTTCTTCTTGAATTTTAGAGCAGGAGTTGGGTATACTAAGGACACTTTCAGAGAGGGTCAAAGCGCACACATGATTGCCCTCCCACCCTGCCCACACCAAGAAATGAAGTTGTTTGGAAGACAGGCCAGCTGGACGGGACTCCAGCAAAATTCCACAGGAAAAAAGACAAATAACAAGCTGCTTGAAGGTATTTTCACCCCCAATTTAACACTTCAAACAGGCCACCTCCCCTTGGAGCAGAGAGACATGGGGGTAACAAAGATAGAAAAAAAACTACTAAAAAAACATCAGGGGGCCAGTAGACAGTCTGTTAACAGCTGGTTCCACTCAGTGATCAAAGTGAAGCGAGATGATTAAAAAATATATTGCCATCCACTTCACTGTGACTCGTGACGACCTCATGTGAAAGCACAGAACTTCCCCCATAGGGTTTTCTTGGCTGTCGTCTTTATGCCAGTGGATCGCAGGCATCGATACTGCTGAGCAAGGTAAGTAGTCAAGCACAACTGTGTACAGCACCCAGAGGAGACAGTCTGCGCTACTGCTTGACTATCCATAGGAACACTTACGGTGTGCTCTGCACACGTGCCAATACGCTCAGAAAAAGAATCGATAGGAAGACATCTCGGTCAAATGGCACACCAAACCCGCTTCCATGCAGCCAATCTGACTCCTGGCATCCTTGTGTGTGTCAGAGGAGAACTGTGCTCCACAGGGTTCTCAGTGGATGAGTTTTCATAAGTAGATTCCATTCATGGTGTCCCTGTGTGTGTCAGAGTAGAACTGTGCTCCACAGGGTTCTCAGTGGATGATGTTTCATAAGTAGATCCCACTCATGGTGTCCTGTGTGTGTCAGAGTAGAACTGTGCTCCACAGGGTTCTCAGTGGATGATTTTCATAAGTAGATCCCACTCATGGTGTCCTGTGTGTGTCAGAGTAGAACTGTGCCCACAGGGTTCTCAGTGGATGATTTTTCATAAACAGATTCCACTCATGGTTCACCATGTGTGTCAGAGTAGAACTGTGCCCACAGGGTTCTCAGTGGATGATTTTTCATCAGTAGATCCTACTCATGGTGCCCCATGTGTGTCAGAGTAAAGCTGTGCTCCGTGGTATTTCAAAAGCAGATCGCCAGGCATTTCTACTGAGCCACCTCTAGGTGGAGTTCAACTTTCTGCCATTAGGTTCACAGTGGAGCACACTCACAGTTTGCACTGCTGGCTGAACACAGCATAAAAGACTCCTAACAGTGAGGGGGGTCACAGGAGAGCCACAGATGGGGTTAAGAGCCCAGACAAGCATCAGGGCAGCACCTACCGAGGGTAGAATCTGGGACTGTGAGATGATGCAGTTGGGCAGGCTGTTCTGCCTGCTCTCGGTGGTCACCTCTGCCCACGTCACCTGGAACCCAGTCATGGGCTGGTACAGGTTGGCCTTGGCCATCTTCCAAGAGAAGTGTCCTGTGATGTTGATGCCCTGGACCACGAAGGAAGCAGAAAGGTTCTCCGGCTTGGCCAACACTTTGGAAAGAACGTGGCCTGAAAATCACAAACGAGTGCACGGTGAGGTGCGGCAGGAGGAGGGGAAAGAAAACCTATCACTGTGCAGTCGGTGCTGACTCACAGCGACCCCTAGAGGGTTTCTGAGGCTGTCAGCCTCATCATTCTCCCCAGGCGCGGCTGGTGGGTTTGAGTCGCAGACCTTGAGGTTAGCTGCCTCGTACTAACCCACTGCACCTCAAAGGCTCCTTTAATAGGAAAAGACACTCTTTTGGTTCCATTGTGGGGACTTGAGAGAGCTGTTCAACGGGAAGGTAGAGACGAATGGAGCCCTGTTTGGGAAGACAGACAGCAGGCAGGCCTGGGTTCATTGCGCGTCCCAGATACTATGGTGTTTAGCACCTGAAGCTTTGCGGCTACCCTGAGTCGTTCCAAGTCTAAGGGCGCCGCGTTTCTGGAAGCGTGCGCTCACGTGTCTAGGCTGGCCACGCCCACCACGTCTGAAACTGATCATGGGCTGGCACACTGACAGGATCACCGAAACCCTCAGTTGCAGAAGCACTGGGAAGCCAGTGCCTCGGTCTGACTGGCTGTGCTGCTGTACTGGTCTGGAGCCGCAGCGCCGTATCTGGGGGGTCTGCCTGTAGGTGGCGGGGTATGGCTAGGAACCCCATCACATGTTTGTGTGATGTACATCGCAGGCTTTTGGGGTGCTTTTGAGGAACCGTCCCCAAAGACGGAGGAGAGACATCAAGGAGGAGGGGCACGGGAGGTTTGAGAAGAGGGATGGAAGAATGGATCCCCGCTATAAGAAAGGCATGACGCAAGGAGAAGACACAGGGGCAAAGAGATGGGTGTCGGACGCCTGTGAGAAAACCATTGCACCTAGCCAAAGCGGGGGATGAAAATGAAATAATTAAGACCTAAGTACCTGGAACTGACTCCACGGCACATCACCACCACCACCCGGAAATATGACCACTGTGTCCATTTCTACAGGGATCATATTGCCGGCACAAGAGTCATCTGCTATGCTGAAGTTCTTCAGTGCTATGGAGTCAGGTCTGACTCCACACAGGGCTTCTACGGAAGAGCGGCTGGGGGGTTTGAACCACCAACCTTGCAGGTGGCAGTCTAGTACTTAACCTACAGCACCACCCAGAGCCCCTTAATACTGTGATTCCCAGTTGGACCACCACATTGTAACTTAGAAAGAAGGGCACGTTCAGCCTTCATGGTCTCCAGAACAACAGTCTGACCCTGTGGACACGGTGTGCTGGCTCAAGGAGGCCAGGATTCCACCCAGAGCCACCATGCCTCCCTCTCAGCTCCCCCGTGCAAGCTATTGCTGTCAGCACGTACCTGGTTCTCCTGGGCAGGGAGGATGCTTGTTGTCCTTCCCCTTGAGAGCAGAGCAGGGGGGAGTGGTGAAGAGCATGGTCTCAACCATCCCGTGGCCCTGGGGCCGGACAGGCTGAACCATCACCTTGTATTTGCAGGAAAACCTCAGATCGTGCAGGATGATGTAGTTCTCCTGGAGCAAGAGAAAGGCAGCGGCATGGCGCCCATACACGTCAGCAGGGAGGCAGGAAAGTGTCCTCCAACAAGGGTATTTCCCTGTGTGGTCTAGCTTTTATATAGGGTGCAAAGGGGACGCCTGCTTGTGCTGGAAACTCATTACGAGCTCTGAACTAGCCCTTCCCTCCAGAATGAATCAGGACCACAGCCTTTCTGAAGTCCTGGTGTGGCACTGTGGGTTAATGCACTGCACTGCAAGGTTGGTTTGAACCACAAGGTTGACCGTTCAAACTCACCAGCCACCTCTCAGAAACCCTATACAAGGTCACTATGGGTCGGAACCGACTTGATGGCATTTCACAACAACAATGGTTTTTCTGCATCAAAGCAGCCAACATCTAACGTACCTAACACACACTTGGAGTTGGCAGCAGTGTGGACGGCAAAGTTTTAAATACAGATCTGTGGGCTATGTGTGTGTGGCGGGAGGGGGTGGTGTTTCAACATAAGAAAAATCACTCAAGGTTCTCTAGTAGTGGGCTTGGTTTATAAGTCAAGTCTTTCTTGAATAAAGTTGAAGATATCCTTTTAGCCATACTGCCCCCAAGCCAGAGCTGGTACCACCTCCAGCCTTCACACTGTGATCAAACACGTGGAATCACAAAGGCATTCGAGCCTGCGGCTAGATCTTCAGGACAACATCTAAATAGGATGTTTACTGGTATGACACACTGCAGCTATGTTTCTTTTGTACAAGGGGCCTTCAAAAAAAAGGAAAGAGTGTGGAAAGATGGGATTAAAAAATAATGGCATTTTCCCACAAACTTTTTGAAACTCTCATGTAGTTGGCTGTGAATTAGCTGCTCTGCAGTGGATTCTGAGTTACGTAGACCCCAAGTGTGTAAGGGTGGAATTGTGTGCTGCACAGGGCTTTCGGTGGGTGCTTGTTTGGAAATAGATTGCCAGGACTTTCTTCTGAAGCACCTCTGGGTGGATTTGAATCGCCAACCTTTCAGTTATTAGCTAAGTACTTAACCGTCCACACCACCCAAGAACTCTTAAAACCAGTGGCTATGGATTCAACTCATGGTGACCCCCTATGTGTCCACAAGGTTTTCAATTGCTGATCTTTCAGAAGAGATCTCCTGGCCTTTCTTCTGAGGTACCTCTGAATGGACTGGCATCTCCAACCTTCTGGTTGGCAGCCGAGAGTCTTGAGGAGGCATGGTCGACCCCACTCAGCACGATTCACTCTGCAGAAGCAACAAGCAGGAACTCATTCTATACACCCAGCGTCTGCCCCTTTGGGGGGCCTGGCGTGTTTTTCTTTGCTAATGAGAGAGTACTCGACATGGGAACACAGTGGAACCCCGGGTAGCTGCCTCTCAGACAATCCCAGGATGCTTTCCTGTGGCACACGAGGCAACAAGGCCGATGACAGCAACAGACGGAGTCCCTGCTTTCCCATTTGTCATTGTTTAGCACCGTGGAGTCGGTTCCGACTCATAGTGACCCTGCACAGGGTTTCCAAGGCTGTAAATCTTTATGGGAGCAGAAACCCTCATCTTTCTCCCGCGGAACGGCTGGTAGTTTTGAACTGCCGACCTTGAGGTTAGCAGCCTGATTCGTTACCACCATACTAGTAGCATGGAAACTCATACAGCTTGTGGACAAGTCATTTAAACATGGAAAAGGAGCTTTATAGCCGTTAGCGGAGTCCTGGGGTGGTGCTACAGGATAAGCACAGACTGCTAACCACAAGGTCGGTGGTTCACATCCACCAGCCTCTCCTCAGAACCCCTGTACAGGGCTGCTGTGAGTCAGAACTGACTTGATGGCTCTAACGACCACGTCTTTAGCAGGCACTCTCTGAGGCTTGGGAAGGTTCTACGAGGCATGTTATGCACGTTACACACGCTCTGTCATTTCACAGTCCTGACAGCTGCTTAGGGCGGCCAGCTGCAGTGCCTCAGTTTCCCCAAACGCACAGAGGGAGCCCAGGAAGACCTGGACTGGCCCCGCACATTCACACACAGAGCCGGCTGTGCGGTCTTTCCTTCTGTCACTGCCTTCCATGTTGCTGCTGTACCATCGAGTCAGTTCCATCTCATAGCGACCCTGTCCCTAAATCTTTTCAGGAGGAGAAAGCCTCATCTTTCTCTCAAGTAGCCGTACATTTGTTTAAAGTGTCTGTTTTCATTTTCTAGTGGCATTCCACAAACTTGGGGAAAATATAAAGATAAAGGGCAAATTTGTTGAATGTGGGTCACGCAAGGCAAGTCAAATCCAGATTTGGTTCTGCAAATTCATGACTAGTTTCTTGTTGACTTTAAAAAAAAAAAAACATCTTAAAGTTATGTGATCAGATATGATTCAAAAGATATCGTACGGGTGGCTTTAAAAACGCCCCAAAATACAACATTCTTGTAAAATACCACACACAGCCATCTTATCTGTTTTAGAGCATGTTTTTGGAACATGAAACTGTCCTAATAAATTGCACGGATCTTGCTGTTGCGAACACTCTTGATACTTCAACACCCTCTTGACTCCTTTCAGTGACTTTACTGGGTCCTGTCTCTGATGCAGACTGTCACCCACAAATGTTTGCGATCGTATTTTGAGAAGTCTTGACAGAGCTGCTGTTACCAAGAAGTTGAACTTTTCCTTAAAGCTCAAAGTCAGAACAGTGTGTGGTGGAGAGTGAAGAAAACGGTTTGTCATTAACAGGCTGAGCGGTGGTAGCAAGAACTTGGAAGACAGGCCTAGTGGGTGATTGCCACTCTCCCAGGGTACTGATCAGTAAAGCCATACCTTTAGATCATAGTTGTTGATGTTCTTGGGTACCACTGAGTCAGTTCCAACTCACAGTAACTCCATGCACAACAGAACGAAACACCGCCTGGTTGTGTGCCTTCCTCACATTCATTGTTGTGTCTGAGCCCACTGGTTCAGCCACTGTGTCAGTCCATCCCATTGAGGGTCTTCCTCTTTTTAGCTGACCCTCTACTGTACCAAGCATGATGTTTTGATCATTGTGCCAAGTTAAAATTTAGAAGACGATTCAAATAATTTGTTGCGTTGAGATGAAACATACAGATGTCCACAAGCATCCGGTCTCCTCCGCTAACCTGGAATCTCTTAGGAAGAGCATTTCAGCGCTCCATTTTCCCCCATGGACGGAGCACTCCACATTTGGGATGGATGCAAGGCCGAGTGCCTTTGATGATGGCCCCATATCTCCACTGTGGTTTGCAAGCCCACCACCCATCTGTCAGCGTGTCATCCTGCCATGCGGGTCTGCATGTGGTTGTGCTGCTGGCCATGGTAGCACCAAGAGTTCCAACCCCAGCAGGGTCTCCAGCTTTCAGCAGAGCTTCCAGACTCAGACAGATTAGGAAGGTGACCAACTTCTGTAAGTGAAAACCTTCTTGTGGTATAGGGGATGAGCTGATGTCTCTTCTAGCCACAGTCTGTAACTCCCACCAAACAACGTTTCTGCCCTGCTGGGTCTAGGTAAGAGAAGGTGGGAGAAGATTCTGGTAGGGTGACTTGATTCAGCTGTGGGTGTTAACAGAGTTCACTGCCATTGTTAAAATTTGGAACTTTAGCATGGGTTTAAAATGGGCCATCTCAGAAGAAGAGTCAGAAGTGGAGCATGTCATTTGGACCCCCGCACATTGAACCTCCTGGACCAGGGACAGAAGGCTGTGACACTGTGGGGGGTCAGGGGGTGGGGGGCAGAGGAGCAGCAGAACACAGAACCAGAGCACGAGACGCAGTAGTGGGCTTCCCAGCCCACAGAGCAAGTAAAGCTGAGAGACTCTGGGCAGGAAACTGACTTGTGGAGTTGGGTGCCTGCAGGCACGTAAGTGGGGGAGCTGATTTTGCTGACCCATGGAGCTAGAGCCGAGTGACTTCAGGTTGAGGTTTATGGTGGAATGGTGCATCCTGTGGGCATTTATCAGCAGCTGACTGGAACCACTGTGCCCTGAGCATTTTCTGATCCCATATTGTAACCTGTTAACTTCCCTAATAAAGCCCATAACTGTGAGTGTGGGGTCTGAGTTATATGTGGTGATCGGTACAACAGACTGCCAAGGCCAGCTGAACAGAGAGGGCAGTGGGAGGAATGACTGGTGTCACAGATATTCCATGCACCTATGAACCACAACAGGACCCCTAGGGCTCCCTTGCTTTGGACCAGTATCAGGAGGGACTGGTCACTGGAGGAAGACATAGTAACCACATGGGGTGAAGCAGAGGGCCAGCAAAGGTGAAATGACTTGGGACAAGAGCGTCAGGAAAGGACTCGAACGTGCTGGCCACCGGGCCAACAATGCAGGACCAGACAGCCTTCCTTCTGCTGTACATACGGGCGCCATGGGTCAGAGTCGACTCACTGGAATCTGTCTGTCTGTCCATGCGTTTATCATGTATCTCTTTAACCCTAAGCCTATATATCTGTCTGTCTGCCTGTCCATGCGTTTATCATTTATCTCTTTAACCCTAAGCCTATATATCTGTCTGTCTGCCTGTCCATGCATTTATCATTTATCTCTTTAACCCTAAGCCTATATATCTGTCTGTCTGCCTGTTTGCCTATCCATTCATTTATCATCTCTATCTCTTTAATCGTAATCATCTCTATCTATCTGTCTGTCTGTCTACCTACCTGTCTATCTATGTATTTATCTGTCTGTCTTTCCATCAGTCCACCCATCATCCAATCATCTATCACATCTATCTATACATCTATCTACCCATCCATCCACCCATCCATCCATCCATCCACCCATCCACCTACCTACCTACCTACCCACCTATCATCTAGCTGTCTGCCTGTCTGTTCACCATTGATCTACGCATCTGCCAAACACCGTCTCTCACCTGTCTATCTAACCAGTGACCAAGAGTCACCCCTTTGCCATATTACAATTTCCACCCTCTGCCCAAGCACATACCACGGTAAAGAGAGCCGAGAAACCAGTAATGTAACACCGTAAGACCTTCTACTTACACGCGTTGTGCTGGATGACTTCTCAGAACTGGTGGTATCGTTGTGGGAACAGAATTCTGGGTACCACTGCACATGATAGCGGTTGATACTGGGGTCTACAACAGCAACACACGATCAATAGCAATAGGAAAACACAGACAGAAAGAATAGGAGTCCCGTTCTGTGCAATGCAGAACAGGAAAGGAAAAATTAACATTCTACAGGTGGTAAAAAAACGCATAACCAACCAAAGCGTAAACCCCATGCCCACATGCCAGTTCCCATGTGTTTCAGACTGGGACTTCTCCACAGGGTTTTCTTGGCACCATCTTCATGGGTGCAGATCATGGTCGAAACAGATGAGGCATGTGGGTTTACTGTAATTCTATTTCTTATATCATCATTAAGAATTGTGACAGCTGATTTTATATGCCAATTTGGCCTTGTAAATGTGCCCAGCTGTCTGGTTGGGTATTCATCTGGATGTTGCTATCAAGGAATTGACATGTGATTAACATTTAAATCCATTAACTGTCAGTCAAGTCAGTGTGGGTGGGCCTAATGCTATCAGTTGGACGCCTTAAGAGCAATAATTGAGGTTTGCCAAGAGAGAAGGATTCTGCCGCAAAACAGAAACTAGACATTCTGCTGGAACCCCCACCGTCACTGACCTACACACACTGTGCACACGAGACTGTCAAAGTCTCCGGCGCGCCCGTCAGCTGGTGGTGGCTTTGGAACTGGCCTGTCCCCACTCCCTCAATCATGTAAGCCAATAGAGCTAGCACAGGGCAGGGAGCCCCCCAGCTCCCAGCAGACCCCACTCCGGTGGATGTGCTCTGTCTGCCTACATGGCCCAGTCAGACTGAGATGTGCAGGGGCTGCTGATGGATTTGAGAGTAGAGCAAAGACCCAAAGTCCTTCAACACCAAAGCGAAAACTATGTTGCAGTTAAAAATGAGGATTACAAGTACAACGATTCCAAAGCCATCTTGAGAATAATGTGGACTTGGTTCTAACGGCCCTACTGTTAGATTCCCCAGCAGTGCCCCTGACACACAATCCCTGCCTCTCTGTCAGTGCAGGCTTACACAGTGCTGTGATGCTGAATAGATTTCTGTGGTGCTTCCAGACTAACAGGGACTAGGAAGAAAGACCTGGCTGTCTACTTTGGAAAATCAGTCGATGAGAACCCTATGAAGCACACAGGCATGGGGTTAGAGCACCGGACCCAACAGCATTTCATTTCCATTGTGCACGGGGGTAACCATGGTTGAGGGCTGAGTTGAAGTCAGCCAGCAACAACTCCAAGCCCCTCCAGTAGAAGACAGTTACTGATGAGCACTACACTCCCCTGTGGGCTTGTAGAGTAACTCTCTTCACTCTGTACTCTAAGACAGACTCCTCACCATCCCTGAACCTACAGTAATTGATAACGGCTCATGGATCAAAGCAGGAACACAATCATCACCGTCAGCTTCCAAGGGGTTAAATACCCCCCTAAGGAATTCTCTTATCAGAAAGTCCAGGATGTGGGTCCCCCCTGCTTACACGGGTGCACCATTGCACACCCAGACCTCTGACCCTGACTCAAGGAGCGTTGGTGGTGCAGTGAGTCACACTGGGCTGCTAACTGTAGGGTCAGCTGTTCGAACCCACCAGCTGCTCCCATAGAGAGAGAGAGCCAGAAGCCTATGGAGGGAGTAGAGATGTGCTATCCCATAGGGACACAGTGAGCAGGAGTCGCCTTCACGGATGGCAGCGGGCTTGGGGTTTCCGTTATGGAGCGTAGTCAAGGATGTCCACTGTCCAGCACATTCATTGAGCTGCATTCTCTTCTGGCCCTGTCTTTCTTCGGACAGGAAGTGGGGGATCCAGACAACTTGAAGACCAGCGTCTCCTTAGTGTGGGAAGGAGCTTCTTTCAGCCTTGGGTTAGTCAATCACCCAGTGTGACCGGGGTGTGACACCCCGGAGCTCCTGCTGGTCATTAACTTCAGGTCCTGCCAAGTGTGTGTGTGTGTGCGCGCGCGCACGCGCGCGCGTGGGGGGAGGGGGTGGGCTCCGGAGAGGAAGGGGAAACTCTTGGATAGATCTAGGTTGTTCTTGTGGGAACTTGCTCTGAGCATTTGGAAGCAGAAAAGAAGAACTCTGAATTGGAGAAAACAAACAGACACCTAGACCAAACAAGGGTACAAACAACCTTCAGTTAAAAGAGGAATCACTTACGAGGGGCCCTTAACTTTTACCTAGCCGTCAAAGTAGGAGGCGAGTCCTCATTCACTCATTCGGCCCACAGCCGGCAGCTTTAAGAGAATGGCAGTGAGAAAGCCCACGGGAGACGCTGCCTCCAGGAATCTCGTGTGTTCATGAGGCCCAGCAGATAACAAAAGGCATAAATATGTTGCTGACATAACCAAGCTCCAGAGGCGGACAGGAGGGAGGGAGGGGAAGAAGGGTGTGATGAAGAAGAGGGTGGCCAGTGAGCTGCAGAGGCAGTTGACTTTGGAGACTGAAGTAGGCTTTGGCAGTGGGCATGAACTGTGCAGATGCCCGGGGAGAGGTGGGGGCACGGGACAGCGTTGGAGGCCAACACCGCCCAGTACAATAGTCGGTCATGAGGAGTATGCGCTGAAGGAGCATGTAAAACATCACCAGCTTCACAGAGCAACCACAATCTTACTTGTAGTTAGATTTCATTCATTCAAATTAAAATTTTATTAACCACAAATGACAGGTGAGGCCACCACCCAATCAGCTTTCGACCTTCACCCATGAACGCTGCCCTAGCCTGCACCATCCCCAGGACCATTGGAGGCTGGCCTGCTGTGATCCCCAAGGTTCCAAGGGCTGTACCATCCCCACTATCCCTTAGGTTCCGTGGTCTGCACCATCCCCACGATCCCTAAGGTTTCCTAGGAGGCACCATCGCCAGGATGTCTAAGGTTCCATGGGTGGCACCATCCCCACGATCCCTAAGGTTCCAAGGGCTGCACCATCCCCACGATCCCTAAGGTTCCAAGGGCTGCACCATCCCCACGATCCCTAAAGTTCCATGGTCTGCACCATTCCCACGATCCCTAAGGTTTCATAGGTGGCACCATCCCCAGGATCCCTAAAGTTTCCAAGGTCTGCACCATCCCCAGGATCCTTAAGTTTTCATGGACTGTCCCATCCGCAGGATTCCTAAGGTTCCATGGGCTACACCATCCCCTGAATCCCTAAGGTTTCCACAGTCTGCACCATCCCCAGGATCCTTAAGGTTTCCTGGGCTGGTTTTCGGAAGCAGAGCTCCAGGCCTTTTCTCCTAGTCTTACTGTAAGGCCTGTTCAGCACCCTCACCATACTGTAGCCTGCTGCACTGGCAGACAGGTGAGAGCTGAGCATGATATACTTTGGAACCAAGGTCCCCACCTGGAAGGTGAGAAATCTACTCCTAATCCAGCACTGCTCTCCAAAGTGACCGCATATCCCTCACCTGACTGGGTCCTAGGCACTGGGCCCCATTCATCATTATACAAGAGCTGCCCACCCAACACCATGTCCTTTACTGTTGTTAAGTGCCGTTGAATCGGTTCAGACTCAGGCTAGTGGCTTACGAACCCCACCAGTTTTATGAGGCAAGTCTCCAATTACTGGCATAGAGACTAGAAGAAGCCTGATAAAGATGGCAGCATGTTACTTTGGAAATCAACAGTTTCATTCAAATATTTACACAAAATACAAAGATTCCAGAAGAGACCAGACAATCCTGAAGAAGATGAATGTTGGAGGACGTGTGCTACCTAACACCAGCAATATTTATAAAGTTACAGCAGTAAAGACGGTGAGTATTTGCAGGAAGGTGGGAAAATAAGTCCAGTAACACTATACCCCAAAACCAAACCCAGGGCCACTGAATCGGTTCCAAATCCCAGCTACCCTGTAGGATTGAGTAGAGCTGGCCCTGTGGGATTGTCAAGGCTGTGTCGTGTTTATGAAGCAGACCACGTCATCTGTCTCCTGTGGAGCAGCTGGTGGGTTCGAACTGCTGCCTTACTGCGTAGCAGCCAAGTGGCTTAACTACTGTGCTATCAGGGTTCCTTTAAATAACGCACTAGAAAGGTTGAAAATTCACCTCTGTCTCTCTGTCTCTATACTCAGATTTCCTTGAACACTTTGACACTCCCTTGTCCATTGTTGTGAAGTGCCGTTCTGGCTCATAGGGACCTGGTATAGCATTTCCGAGGAATGGCTGGTGGCTATGAACCACAGACCTTGAGGTTAGCAGTCCAGCGCCACACCAGGACTCCTGCATACGCATATTACATCTATTACTCCATTTATTAAGGCAAAGTGGGGTCACTTTTAAGTGACTGCTAAGACTGTAGGGAAAGTCTACAAGGGTACTAGTCCCTGCAGAGCCCCATACACAAAACTCAATTCTGGGTAACAGTCAGCCACAGACAGTGAAAGGCAAAACGTAGGAGCTTGCAGAAGAGAAGAAAGGAATCTCGGGGGTCCTCGTGTGAGCAAAGCCTTTTTACACAAAACGCAGCACTAGACAAAAGGGCACAGGAGCTCAAACTGACCCCTTGTAAGATTGAGGGCCACTTTGAGAGGGAGCCAGGTAACACTGGCCAGAGTACGAGAAGACCTTTGCAACAGAAGAAAGGACAAATGACTCTTATTCTCGCCATATCAACAGCTTTTGCTAATTGCAGAATGACCTAGGAAGCTATGTCGACACATTCTGACATCAAGACAACCAGGCTTTTTTTCTTTCCAAAAATAAAGGAACTGAAGTGTGCTGTTCGGGTCTAGTGAAAAACTGCACACCCAGCCAGCCCCCGGGACCCCGTACGCACCTTCGGTCTTCTTCCAGTAGAGTTTCACCTGCAATTGGTTGTCTTGGTAGAAGGGGGCTCCAATTTCCAGCAGCCGAGTGGGTGGTCTTCTCTGAACAGGGGGCTGGATCTGAATGACACCTTTTCTAGTTTTCCCAAGCGGTTCTTCTGCAACAGATTTACAGGACAGCACTGTGACTGATGGAGAGGTGAGCAATTTGTCTCATTTCTCTAGTGTGTCCCGTGAGGGCCAGATTTTACAAAGTAAAGTAGCACATAGCTATAGAATCATTCATGCCCATGTGGGTGCACTAACTAACTAAAAATATATGCAACCCCACAATTTACATTGATAATCAATTTGTACTTGCCACACTAGAAAGATGGTCTAACTCAAGTCATAGAGTTTGGACACTTCCTGGGAAAAACAGTATTTCTTTCAATAGAATATTTTTATGCGGTGTGGTGTGGTGTTGTATGATCAGCCCTGGACTGCGAACCACTAGGTCAGTGGTTCAAACTCACCAGCTGCTTCTCGGAAACCCTATACTGGGTCTCTGTGAGTCAGAACCGACTCGACAGCACTTAACAACAACAATGAGGGATATAAAATAATATCAAATTGCCATTTAATGAAAACAACAGATAACTTTTCGTAGAATTGCTGATATTCTACATCAACATTGGAGGTGAGCTCAACTTTGTCAAATGAGTAGCAGAGACTCCGAATGGAGACAGCAATGATTCAAAGGCAGTATCAGTCGGAGCATTCAACCATCAGTCTGTACAGGACCGCACTGGGTGACAGACAGACAGACGGTAAAGGGAACACCCAGGAGTCCGGTAGGCTCCTTTGTGGGTTTCTATTTCTGGCTGCATTGGCTCAGTCCTATTTCCACCCACCTGGTGTGGCCGCCTCGTCCTTTCAGAAGCCCTCCTGTGACCTTCCTAACCGCTTCTTCTCGAATTTCTCACCAGGTAACTGGACACAGTCCTCATCTAGTTAGCTAGTGCTGCCATAACAGACACACCAGAAGCGGTGGCTGTAACACTGAGATGGCACCGTTAATGAGGCTACTTCGATCCGCACCTCCGGGAGAAGCCTGTCTTCCTCTAAGGTTCTGGGGAAAAGTCCCAGGCTCATTTCCACATGGGTGAGCCTGGCACCCCTTGGACACCTCCACGTGGCTTGGCATCCATCTTCCCCTGGGTTCAAGAGGTTCTCAGCACAAGGCTCTAGATTCAATAGACTTGCTCCTCTTGTTAACACTGGACCTATCTCCCAGCTCCCTACATTCTCCTGTGAAATCCTGTGAGCTCAGAGGTGACGCAGGCCACACCACAGGGAACCCCACTTACACTGGATCAGGGCGGCAACCCGAGTTGGGGCATTGCAGGTCACCCGAATCCCCTCACAGCTGACTGGGACCAAGGAAGACGACCCCATCATCACCAAGAGCAGCAGTACATTGTTACAGAACTGCGCAGCTGCTGAGAACTGGCCGGCAAATGGACACACGTTTTAAAGGGCGTAGTCCCAGGGATGACAGCACTTCTGTAGCTTGGCCATCTTGCACACGTTTTTCTTCAATGAACTGATTCTTTATGAATTCCAAATCGCCCAAATGCTGTGCTGGTCATTACTGTCACTGAGTGGATTCCAACTCGAAGCGACCCCGTGTCTCAGAGGGTATCTAACGCTGTGAAGCTTACTGAAGTGTAAAGCCAGGTCAGGGCCCTGGTGTGGCACTGTAGGGTAAGCACTTGACTGCTAACAGAAAGGTCAGTGGCTCAAATCCACCAGCTGCTCCTCGGAAACCCTCAATCGGGGTGCTATGAGTTGGGACCACTCAACGGCACCGAACAATAATGACAATGCCAGATGTTTCTCTTCAGGGGCTACTGGGTGGGTTTGAACAGGTAACCTTTCAGTTAGCAGCCAAGCCCTTAGCACTTATACCTCTAGCCACAATGGCCTCAGGTTAAGAGTTGTATTGAAGATACACTGATGGCAAACAGGAAATGTAACATTTTCAAATAGAGGTTCCAGTGAGATTTCCAATGAAGGTTAGAGTGACATCCACATTCTTGGGCAGGTGTGAAGAAAGGAGAGAGGTGGGTGTGCATGGTGGGTGAACCCTCACTCAGGGGCCACACAACAACAAGAAGGGGAAGCTGTGGCATGGTCCCATAAAGACTCAGAAACCCTATATAGGGCAGCTTGAAAAAATACAGCCAAGTAGTAAATGAAATGTGCAAAGACCTGGAGTTAGAAAACAAAAAAAGGAAGAAGATTTTTTCAAGCTGAAAGAATGAAAGAAAAACTTTAAGCCTCGACTTGTAACACTAACAATTCTCTGGGAAAAACACTGAACGATGCAGAAAGCATCAGAAGAAGATGAATGGAATACACAAAAGACTTGGTCAAGGTTCAACTGTTTCAAGATGTAGTATACGACGAACCGCCAATGGTATTACAAGAAGAAGCCCAATCTGCACTGAAGGCTTTAGTGAAAAGTAAGTCTCCAGGAATTGACAGAATACCAATTTAAATATTTCAACAAACTGATAAAACTAGTCTTTGCCAAGATTTTTGGAAGACAACTATCGGCCATCTGACTGGCAGACACCCATGTCCATATTTGTGACCATTCCAAAGAAAGCTGACCCAACGGAATGCAGGTATTACTGAACCAGTAGCAGCATTTTTTGAAGATAATTCAAAAGATGTGGCAGCTGCCAGGAATTCAAGGGGGATTCAGATGAGAATGTGAAACAAAGGATGTCATTGTCGATGCCAGAGGGAATTTGGCTGAAAGGAGAGAATACATTCGACAGAAAGATGTTTAACTTGAGCTTTACTGACTATGCAAAGGTATTAGACTGTGTGGATCATAACGAATTATGAATAACATGTCAATGAATGGGTATTCCAGAACACTTAACTGTGCTCATGTTGAACCTACATGTATGTAGACCAAGAGGCAATTACTGGACCCAAACAAAGGGTTACTTCATGGTTTAAAATCAGGGGAGGTTGTGGGCTATCAGGGTTGTAGCCCTCCACCACACTTATTTCATCTGTATGCTGAGCATACAATCTGAGAAGCTGGACTATACAAAGACAAACGTGGCATCAGGATTGAAGGAAGATTCATTAACAACTTTCAGTATGCAGATGGCACAACCTTGCTTCTGGAGGCAAAGAGGACTTGAAGCACTTGTGATAAAGATTAAAGACTACAGTCTTCAGTGTGGATTACAGCTCAATGGAAAAAAATTTAAATCCTCACCACTGGACCAGTAAAAATCATCGTCATAAAAGGAGAAAAGATTCAAGTTGTCAAGAATTCCATTTTGCTTAGATCCATACATAATCAATGCTCATGGAAGCAGCAGGCAAGAAATCAAAGAACATATTGCATTAGGCAAATCTGAGGCACAAGACCGCTTTAAAGTGTTCAAGAGCAAAGATGGCAGTTTGAGGACTAAGGGGAGCCTGACCTAAGCATGTAATTTCAACAACCTCATATGCATGCAAAAGCTGGACAGTGACTAAGGAAGACCAGAGAAGAATCAACGCATTTGAATTACGGCGTTGGGAAAGAAGAATACTGAAAGTGTACCAAGGATTGTCAGAAGTCAAAAAAAAAAATTTTTTTTTTAATCTGTCTTGTAAGAAATACAGCTAGAGTGCTTCTGAGAATCCAGTATGGTGAGATTTGTTGCGTGTACTTTAGATATATTATCGGGAGTGGCCAGTCCCTGGAAAAGGGCATCTTGCCAGGAAAGTGAAGGATGATCGAAAAAGAGGAAGAGACCCTAGAAGATGGATTGGCACAGTGGCAGCACCAATGGGTTCAAATACAGCCACAACTGTGCGGATGGCACAGGACCGGGCAGTGATTTGTTCTGTCTGGCATGGGGTCGCTGAGTCGGAGCTCCCTCAGCGTCACCAGCGACAACGTTAATGGTTCTCAGGAAAGCTGACGGATGGCACATTTTTCTCTTTTGTGGTAACAGGTGAGTTCGAACAACCAAATTACAGTTAGGAGCCAAGTGCTTAACCTCTGTGCCACCAAGGCTTCTGTGTGCACAATACTAAAGATGGTTGTTAAGTTGCCAAAATGACACCAAGGCATTGTGTCTTACGGAAGATGGGAATCAGAAGAGGATTCAAAGGTGAAACGATTTTCTATGTTGCCGTTCAAAGGACCACTGGCTGTGGATCTGTCATATTGTGATTCCGAAGCCTTAAGAACCCAATCTTACTGTAGGTCCTTGATGTGATAAAGCACTTTCCAGGAGAACCACCGGAGCTTCCGTGGCACACGGCTAACTGAAAGGTCAGTGGTTCGAACCCACCCAGAGGCTCCTCTGTGCATGGGAAGAACAGGATGGGCACTTACTGTGGTTGGTCGTGTGTATGGACGTGAACTGAAGTGACACCTTTGCACTCTTGAGTCGCGTCTGTCCCCAGTATGCGATGGCCTGCAGTTCCACCATGTAGCTGCTGTCTGGCTGCAGTAGTTCCAGAGTCACAGAATTGTTGGACTGAAGGAAAAGAGGGTGGTCCCGGACCCATCGTCAGCACCATGGAACACCCCAGCTTCGTCAGCTGGTCTGTGTCCACATCTGTACCCACATCATTAGGGTCTGGAAAATAGTTTCATACATGTGTCTCCTAACGATGCTGCTCATGGAATTAAGGGGACTGAAATGACTAATACCCCACAACCTGGTAGATCCCACCTCGAAGAGAGAAGGGGCCTGGGACCTATGTGGAGACATTTTATGCCTCATGATGGATCCAGGGAACATTAGGAATTGGCCTCATTTTCATTCTTTGAAATCTAAATCTATGAGTAAAGTTCCAACTAATGAGAAATACTAACTGGAAAACAGTGTTATAGCATTTCTCTGTCAGTATTGATGTTAAAATCTGTTTTTGTGTGTGTGTGTGTGTGTGTGTGTGTGTGTGTGTGTGATGTTTAACTTGAAAAGAAGTGAAGCTGGCGGGGAGGCAACCACTGAATATGCTGAGCTGCTAGTTGAAACATTGAGGTTCCACTCTACCCAAAGACATCTCAGAAGGCAGGCCTGGCCATTCATAAACTCGGTGTGGAGGAACTGAAGCCGTGGGAATTTCACTGGGAATCCTAGTGAGTGGTTCTACTCAGACACAGCGGAGACTACTTACTGGTTATCTTAAGGAACGGGAAACCATTGATATCCCAAGAAGAAAGGGTGGCCCTTTGCTCAATCGGTTCCTTGGTGTGGTTAGCCTTCAACTCTCTGTTCAGAGTCAGGATGGTTGTACAAGTAACCATCTTTTTCGGTACATCTCATTGTTAATAGTGTGTACTACACATTAGCCGAGTTCTGGTGTGGCGCTGTAGGTTAATGCGCCAGACTGCAAAGCCGTTTGAACTGCAAGGTCAGTGGTTCAAGCTCACCAGTCGCTCCTTGGTGGCTGCTATGGGTTGCTATGGGTCGGAACTGGCTCGATGGCACTTAACAACACAACAACAACACATTAGCCGAGATCTGGTGTGGCGCTGTGGGTTAATGCGCTGGGCTGCAAACTCAGCTTGAACTGCAAGGTCAGTAGTTCCGCTCCTCGGAAACCCTATACAGGGTCGCTGTGGGTCGGAACCGACTCAATGGCCCTTGGCAACAGCAACACATTATGCAGTGCATCATTTACTGATGTTGTCGTCCTCAAATGTCCACTCACAGATGTTCAATGCCGTTTATAAAGACACTGATAAGGGAAGACGACACTGATGAAAGCCAGAGAAACGTGGGGCATCCCACCCATCCACGGTGAGTTGTAACTGCCGAGTTGTCACTCAGGGACTGATTGTAGCCTTCTGATTTCTACTGTTAATTCCCATTTGATCAATTTGGGGACATCAATGATTCACATCTTGTGGGTTGTAAATAGAAGCCACTCACAGAAAGAAGCCTTCATTTGGGTGCTCTGGGTCTGTTAGGAATTACAATCGAAATGCCACTCACATACTGTTTATCTGGTTGGTCTCCAGCAGAAATGAATTTTGCAAATTCTCCCACTCTACCTGGCTGCTATTAATTGGGTTGTCAATGGCAGTGTGGGGTGGGAGGGGTCAGGGTTTCACCTTGTGACATTTTGTTTTATTTCTGTAACCCCTCGACTTCAGCTCCTCCAGTTTGTTCTGGGATACAGCCAGCAGACAACACTTGTTGGAGTGTCCGTCACAGTCAAAGGTGGAACTATCGGAAAGACCCTTCAATTAAAAGCTAAAAGAACATACCGTCTAAACAGTATCCTTATGAACTGTTGGAGACACTTTAGCTAATTCTAGAAGGCACAAACAGTGGGGGAAAAGTCTCACTTTTTAAAAAGCATTTTTAAACATTTGTCTGTCAATGGGGGTCCAGGTCCCCGCCCCCAGGAAAGGTACTTATGTAAATATCATAACAAGATAAAGAGACATATGCTAAATGAGTCTGAGTAAAATAATCCTTTTCTTTTACAGCAGACATTTCAGATGATTAAAATGTTCACAGTCCTAGAAATCTCACAACAGAAAACCGCTCAGCAAAGACTTGATTTCGTGGAGTCTAGAGAAATGCACATATAAATTCTTCTGATAAATGAGAAAGCCATACTGCCAAACATGTGAAGTCCGTGGTGAAATCGCACACGGGAACACCACACACCAGAAAACCCAGGAACAGTTGTTTTTCAATCTACAAGGATCTCTTTAGAAATAAAAACACAAAAACCTATGACTAACTGTACAGACATTCTGCATTCTGTTCTCATCAACTGCTGGGCAGGCAAAGTGAAATGTATCTGTTGTCCTGGTGGTTGAAGCTGTGGCTGCTATTTTGACACAAGTAGGAGTCCTGCTAAGATGCTGGAGGAGAAGCATTGGACTGTTTACAACAAGGTCTGCGGTTCAAACCCACACCTGCTCCTTGGAAACTCTATATAGCCTCACGATGAGTTGCGATCTCCTTGAAGACACGTAACAATAACAACACTGGCACCACACACTGTTTACTGCTCCACTATGTGTTGTTGTAAGATCAGCATTGGGCTGTGAACCACAAGGTAGGCAGTTCAAACCCACCAGCGACTCCTTGAAATACATAAGTACTTGCTATGAATTTGAACCAACTCAATGGCAGTTAACAATACGGAGTCACAAGGTTGGTGGTTTGGAGCACCCAGAGGTGTCTGTCCTGGAGGAAGGCAGGCCCGGTGATTTCTTCTGAAACCTCGCAGCTCTGAAAGCCCTCTGGAGCCATTGCAGTGCACACGGAGTTAACGTGTTGGGCTGACTGGACAGCACCCACCTACACTATACCTCAGCAGGTCAGCAATTAAATGCAATGGTTGTCACCCCACAATGGCCAGCATGCTCTCTGTCCTTGAACTTCTTCCCCCCGTCAAACATAAACGGGTGCGAAGCTCTGCAAAGACTTTCCATCAGGTCATGTTCTGGGGGTTCAGATGTCCCACGCCCCTCTTCCCGGTCCCCACTCACCCCATCTGTGGTCTTTCTCCGCTTCTTGCTCGTGGGGACAAGGGACTTGCTGTTGACGGCCCAGCTCCAGAACACTTTGTAGTGATGGACCGGGAGATCCGATTCCTCAGGAAGCTCCCACGCGATCGTCACGCTCACACTGCCGTCACTGTTGATGGTGGAGTTTGCAAGCCGCAGGTTGGTTGGAGCTGGGGGTGCGGATGGATCTGAAATCCCAGGCAATGGGTAGGCTGGATTACTCAACCACCAAAGATGATCACAAACCCGAAACATCTACACACATAACGACAATGCTGCCAAGGCATGATGCGTTGGTCTTCATATGTAGGAGAGCTGAAAACAAGTACTAGGTAAACACGAGCTACTGTGCAGTGAGCTCTGACCCACGGAGATCCTGCGTATGTCAGAGCAGACGGTGTTCCGCACGGTTCTCAGTGGCTGCTTTGTTGGAAGGAGAGAGCAACACCTTTCTTACAAGGCACCTCTGGGTGGACGAGAATGGCCAACCAAACACGTAAACCATTTGCATGGCCCAGAGTCTTGATTTTAGGATCAGAGTCCAATCTCAGGGTGCTGTAGAATAAGCACTGGACTGTTAACTGCAAAGTCACCAGCTCAAAGTCACCAGCTGCTCCTTGGAAACCCTATACAGGGTGACATGAGTCAGAACCAACACAACAGCACTTAGCAACAATATAGTCCAGAGGTTCTGATCTGGTGCTGTAGGACAAGCACTGGAACGCTAACCAAAAGGTTGGAGGTTCAAACCCAATAGGTGCAGTGTCAGAAAAAGATGAGTGAATCTGGTCTATAAACACTTACAGCCCAGAACCCCTGTGAGGCAGTTCTAGTCCATCTAGAACCCCTGTGAGACAGTTCTAGTCCATCTAGAACCCCTGTGAGACAGTTCTAGTCCATCTAGAACCCCTGTGAGGCAGTTCTAGTCCATCTAGAACCCCTGTGAGGCAGTTCTAGTCCATGTAGAAACCCTGTGAGGCAGTTCTAGTCCATCTAGAACCCCTGAGG